GGTAGAGTAGTGGTAGTCGAGTAGTAGGGCCTTACCTTCCAAAACCCTCTCTCAGGATTTTTTTTTGGGGGGCGGGTTGGGGGGGTTTTCCTTCCGGAGTCCTCCCTCAGTCTTTTTTTTGGGTGTTTGGTGGTGGTTGGGGGGGGGTTAGGAAGGTTTTCCCCCATACCCCCCTTCTCAGGAAGGTTTTTTTTAAGGATAAGGGAGGTTTTGTTGGGGGGATCAGAGCCCCCCATCAGGGGCATTCTGGGGGGGTTAGGGGAGGTACCCCTCCCCCATAGGGTTTTTCTTCGGGGTGGGTGGGGATAGGGCAGTTTTTTCCCCGCCCTCCCGCTTGCAGGCTTTTTTTCCTTGGGGGGAGGAGGGGAGGGGGGTCAGTTTTTTTTCTCCGGACCTCCTTTCAGGGGGGTTCTTGGGTGGATAGACGAGCCTCCTTGGTGCTAGACGCGCCCCTCTGCTATGCATCGTCCTTTGCCAGACGAGGCTCCTCCCGAATCTATTCACCGGTAAAAAAACATCCTTGGTAGTAGACGTGCCCCTTCGCTGTACACCACTCTCTGCTTCACGAGGACCCTCCCCAAGTTGATTCTACAAAGCATCCTTGCTACTAGACGTGCCCCTCTGCTGCGCACCTCCCGCTATTAGACTAAACCCTTCCGAAGTTTTTATCAAAAGACACATCCTTTGTACTAGACGTGCCGCCCTGCTTCTCATCATACTATGCTAGACGAGGCGCCTCCCATAGCTGATTCAACTCGCATCCTTTGTACTAGACGTAACCTTCTGCTATGTGCCACCCGCTACTAGACGAGGCCCTTCCCAAATTGGATCACACAAGCCTCCTGGTACTAGCCGCGCTTTCTGCGTTGCACCACTCGCTGCTAGACGAGACTAGACGTGCTCCTCTGGTGTGCACCGCCCAAGTTATTTGAAACAAGTCCTTGCTACTAGACGTACTCCCTTGCATTGCAACTCCCGCTATTAGACGAGGCCCTGCCCAAGTTTACATCAAAAGGCACATCTTTGATACTAGGCGTGCCCCGCCGCTGTGCATCATACAATGCTTGGCGAGGCGTCCCCCCCTCAGCTCATTAAGTATGCATCCTTGGTACTAGGCGTGCCCCCCTGCTGTGCACCAGCCACTGCTAGACGAGGCCCCTTCCCAAAGCTGAGTAAATAATCTTCCTTTGTGCTAGACGTGCCCCTCCGCTGTGCACCTCCCGCTTCTACATGAGGTGGCCCCCCCCCATGGCTGATCAAAAAGGCATCCTTGGTACTAGACGTGCCCCTTCTTTGCTGTTCACCACGCTCTGCTGGACGAGGCCCCTCCCCAAGTGCTTGTTTAATCACCTTCGGGATGGCCCCGTCTGGCGGAGGGTGGTGTGCAGCAGAGCGGCACGTCTAGCCTCGCTACCACCAGCAGCTCTGCCATCCCTAATCTTCTTGCCCCTCAAACGAATCTCTGAGGGTGGACAACTCCTCTAATACCGCCTAGCCTACAACAAAACAACCGAGGGGCGGTTCCAAGGTGAAAAACCTCTAACCCCCCCTACCCCCCCACATCAAAAACCCTTGAGGGGAGGTTCTGGGGGACAACGAGGCTTCACCCCCCATGACCCTCCCAAAACCCCTTCTGAGAGGGGGTTTTGGGGGAAACGCCATTTGAACCTCCCCAAAACAACCCCTCAGTGGGGGTTCCAGGGGGGACGCTTCTTCAACCCTCCAACGAACTTCTCTGAGGGGGAGGTTCTGGGGGGACCCCCCCGAACCCCACCTGAGCCTGCCAGAGCCTTCCTTGAGGGGGGGGGTCCGGGTCACCCCCAAACCCGTTTTTGGACTTTTGCAAGAGCCTCCCTCTGAGTGCGGGGTCCGGAAGGGCAGCCCCTGGACCCCCCCCTCAGCCATTCCGAGAGCCTTCCCGAGGGGGGGGGGTTCGGGGGGAAGGCCTCCCTCACCTCCCCGACCCGTCCAAAGCCCTTCCCCGAGGGCGGGTTCTGGGGGGAACGCCTTTTTCCAGCGCTCCCTGACCATTCCACAACCTTCCCCCAGGCGGGAGATCTGGGGGGAATATCCACCTTGCCACCTTCAGCTCCCCCGCCCTGAGAGGGGGGTTCGGGGGTGACCTCTTTGCTGGGGGGGGGGTCGGGGAAAAACAGCGAGTCTCGCTGAACCCCTGACAGCAAACCGCAAGGGTCCAGGGGGGGGCCGAGCCTTCAAATCATTCCAAACAGTCCACGTGAGGGGGGGGGGGTCGGGGGGGGGGGAACGTCTCTATCCTTCCTAGCCCCCCGACCAAAAACAGAAGCCCGAGGGCTTTTCCAGGGGACACCCGCCCGGACACTCTCGCACCGTCAGAAGCTTGAGTTGAGGAGGGGGTCCGAGGGGGACCCCCCAACCACCCTGATCTTTCTAATTCCCCCTCCCTGATAGGGGGAGTTTGGAAGAAAACGCCCTGGTGGTCCAGGGGAGCCCCTCCCCAAAGTCCGTCCTTGATGGAGGGTTCCGAGTTAAAAACCGTTCCCCCCCCCCAGAACGCACCCAGGTGAGGGTCTGGGGGGACAGCTTTTCTAACCCCTCCAGCAGCGCCCTTGAGATGGGAGGTCCGAGGGGGAGCCGCCCTAATCCTTCCCAACCTCACAAAACCAGATCTGAGGGATGGTACTGGGTGGGAAGCCATACCACCCCCCTAATCTCCTGAAGGAGCAATTCTTGAGATATGGTTGGGCGGGTTCTGGGGGGAAAGAACTTTGCTACCCCCTCTAGCCCCGCCGAGAACCCACCCTGAGAGCAGGGCTCCGGCGGGCAGATAACCTCCCCAAAACATCCCCTGAGGGAGGGTTGTGGGGAACGACTATTTAACCACACCAGACCTTTCCAAAAACCCGCCCTGAGGGCCCCCCCCCTAACCCGCCCCAGAACCTTTCTGAGGGGGGTTCTGGGGGGTACTTATCTCTACCGCTTCAAGAACCTCTTTTGAGGGGGGTGGGGGCGGGGGAAGAGCAACCCAAAGTTTCCTTCCAGGGACCTAGGGAGAGGTTTTCCAAGGGGGGCGTCCCGAATTTGAGTTTTTGGAGGCTGACCAGAAACACCTTCCTAACCCCTGATAGCACTCCCTTGAGGGGAGGTTCCGGGGGGAAAACCTACCTACCCTTCCCGAGGCCCCCGCCGAGGGGGGGTAGAGTGGTTTCGGGGGCAAAACCTTCCCTGATGTTTTTGTGCTCAATTGTGTTTTTCGATCATATGTTTTTTTTGGGAGGCGCCCCGGTTCCCCCCCTAAACCTTTTCCCCCCCTCCCTGGGCCCGGGAAACCCTTCACCCCCCCCCCCCCGAGAAGGGGGGTTAGGGGGGGGGGTTCCACGGGGCTTCGGGGAATTGCCACACCGCTTTTCCCTTACGCGGATCCACATGAGACCTCGCTCTTCTGGGGACTGCAATTGGGACATGGTCGCCAATTTCGTGAGCTTCTGGGAGGTCCAGCGCAGTGCTGGCATTTGCGGATCCACTGAGACCTCGCCCTCCTGGGGGCTGCCGACTGGGCAACCGCCGCCACTTTCGCAAGCTCCTGCGGGTCCGACGAAGTGAAGCAATACGTAGATCCAAGCGAGACCTCGTACACCCTGGATGTTGCCAGCTGCACAAATGCAGCCACTTTCGTGAGCACCTGGGGGTCCCAGTGGAGTGACGCGCCACGTGGATCCGAACTTGACCTCATCCTCCCTGGGAGGTCCTGGGAGGTCCAGCGAAGTAACGCCTTCAGGGGTTCAAACTAGACCTCGCCTTCCTGGGCGCTGCCAACTGCGCAACTGTCGCCACCTTCGTGAGCTCCTGGGGAGTCCAGCTGCGTGCTGGCCTGACGCGGATCCACATGAGACGTCGCCCTCCCTGGGTTGAGCTACTTGCGCAACTGTCTAGACTTTCGGGGGTTCCTGGGAGGTCCAGCGGGGCGACGCTTTCAAAGGATCAAGACTACACCTCGCCTCCCTGGGCGCTGCCAGCCGTGCCAGAGCCTCCATTTTCGTGGGTTCCTGGGAATTCCAGCGGAGTACGGTTTTACGCGGACCCACCCCGTGGTCTTGTCATGCGTCTTGGGTGGGTGGGTTGGGTACGTCCCTGGGTGTTTTATCCACTTGCGCTGCCACGCATAACCGCCAGTGTGCTTGGGGACGTCCGCGTAAGCCAGTTCTGTAGCATGCGCGTGATTGCTTTGAAAATGCACGCGATGCAGGTTCTCCCATTCCTCTGTCAGCTCTTGGCGCCGTGGCTCGAAGCGCTGGCCCAGAAGGCGAGAGTGTGGGGGCGGACTTCAGCGGGGCGTTGGCTTCGCCGCCTTTGCAGGCCCCCCCCGCGCGCAGCACCCCAACATGTCACCCAGCCTGAACCTTCGAGCCGTTGGGAGAAGGCATGGGCTCGACTGAGGAAGTTGAGCGTTCAAAGTTTGAGCCGAGCGATCCTCGGAGCCTTCCCCGCTGGCCCTCCGCGCTGCAGCCCCTCCCGCTGCGGGGCGGCCCGGCGAAGGTGGCACCTCCCCCCCCGCAGGTACTTGAAGCCGGTCGCCCCCCTGTCCGAAATCGTGAAGAAGGGCGTCAAGGTCGCGTGGCAGGCCCGCGAGCTCGTCTCGCTGTCCTCGGTCCCTCCCTCCCGCGGCTCGTCTCCCCGCGGCTCCCTCCCGCGGTCCCTCTACCCGCGGTTCCTCCCCGCGGTCCCTCCCCGCGATGCCTCCCCGCGGTGGCGGTCCCCGCCGATCGTTTCCTCGATTCCGGTGACTCCCCATGCTTGGCATCGCTCGGACGTGTGCATTTTTTTCTCGGCGACGGCCATCGAGGACCATCCTTGATCATTTGGCGAAAAAAAGCGCGCACGAAATCGAAAAATACACGAGGAATGGATGTCCGAGCGACGGCGAGTCCGTCGTTCCGTGCGCGGTCCCTGCCGCCCTCCCTCCCGTGGCCCCCGCCAGTTGCCCCCCCTGCGCGGTCCCTCTGCGGCCCCTCCCCGGGTCCAGGCACCGGGCGCCAAGGGTGCCAGCAGGACGAGGGGGCCCAGGTCCATCGGGTGCGGAAGTGCGACGGGTGCAGCTGGCTGCGTAGAGGTCATGAGCATCGCGGGCTTGGTCGAGAAGCGAGGAGTTCCCATGAGGGCCTGAAGTGGGTCAGAGGCCTCGTAGATTCCATCGGGGCCCAGTTCCCAGATATCCTCCAGGGTGCTAACTACCGTTGGGCCTTGCGGCCGCGAGAAGGTGTTCTAGGATCCGTGGAGGAGGAGGAGGAGGAGGAGGAGGAGGAGGAGGAGGAGGAGGAGGAGGAGGAGGAGGAGGAGGAGGAGGAGGTCTGCGTCGACGGCTCGGTCTATGGTGCAGAGTGTAAGTGGCTGGTGCGTGCTGGGTGGGCTGCCGTTTCGATGCCACTGGCGCGCAGGTCGAAGGTGTTGCAGGCGGTCCCTCCACACAGCCAGTGCAGGGCGTGCCCTGCTCTGAGTGGTGCGCTTTCCACGTGGCCTTGCCACCCACGGGGGCCCAGGTCACATTCGTCGCAGGCTGCGAGACGGTATGTGATGGGCGGAAGGCGGGGAGGGATGGAACGACGTCACCAAACAGACACTACGCGGAGCTATGGGGATCATCTGGGCTCGAGTTGATGGTGTTGGCGCAGAATCTGTCGCAGCGCAGCGGGTGCCGTCGCACGTGTCCAGGGCAGCTTCAGCGAGAAGGAGCTACGACCCAGCCTGGTTCAGAGGCAGCAGGGAAGCTGACTCTCGGGCGAAGACGGGCGCGCGAACCCATCCCATGACCTCTCATCTTCGGGATCGGCTGTGCCATCATCATGATCGGGTAACCTTCGTTATATATATATATATATATATATATATATATATATATATATATGGCGGCGATGTTGAAACATGTCCATCAGCTGGGTTGTCCTGATGCTGCGGCGTCTGCTGAGCGTACGGAGCGTGAATCTAGGAACTCGGAGGACCCAGTTTTGGAGATCGTCTCAGGCGATAGAGTCACATCGTCTTCCAGGCTCCCCGGGGTGGGCGGGGATGTCGCCCTTGTGTGGTCTTGGGCGGTGCGTTGCGCTCTCGGCTGGTGCGGCCGCCGTGTCCGGGGCCCCCACTGGGTCGCGGCTGGCGCGCATCCCACCCGTTGCCTACCACCTCTGGCAGAACGGGGGCATGGCCTGGTGTGTACGCTGCGGAGCGTGTGCGCGCGCCTTAAGGCCACGTAGCTCGCCAGGACGCGTCCAAACCGTCCCGACACGGATTGGGAGAGCGGGGCCCCTGGAAGCCTAAAGCAGGGGAAAGACCCCTCAAACCGCAGGGCGGAAGTCGAGGCCCCAGTTTCACGGGCGTTTTTAGCTTCAAAAATTCATGTTGGCGGGCGGGCGTCCTGTGTATACGGGACGACCGCGGAGGAGCGCAAGAGCGCAAGAGGAGGAGGATTAGGAGGAGGAGGAGGAGGAGAAGAAGGAGGAGGACGAGGAGGAGGAGGAGGAGGACCAGTGCAAACCCAAGACCCATCAAGGATGTTGTAATACACCTTCCCGCCAAGCTCCCTCTTCATAGGCCCCATACAAGGATTAATTTTTCATTGGGGGAGTGCCCCGTTGATAAGATCTTGAAGCGTGCCAAGACACCATTACTGGGACTCCACCGCCACGAATCAAGCTAACTGTTGCGTCTTGACGATCCTGAATCGTGCCAGAACGCTGTTTCTGGGACTTCAACACCGCGAATCGACGTAATTGTGTCGCCGTGACAATCCTGAATCGTTTCTAAACACCGCTTCTGATACGTTTGCCATGCGAATCCGTGAAACTCTTATTGTTATGCCTGAAACGAATGTGCGCGGTGCTCAGGCGAGAGCCAAATTTTGAAAAGGAGCCGCCCTCAGTACGTGAAACTTTTGTTGCACAAATGTAAGTGGAGTGTGCGCGGCGCTGAGGCGAGAGCCACATTTTGAAAGCCGCCTGTCCTCAATCCGTGAAGCTCTTGCAAGTATCTGAAAAACGGATGTGCGCGGCGTTAAGGCGAGATCCACATGTTGGAATGCTCAGGCGAGCCCCGCAGTACAACATTTTTGAAATGTCAATGAAGCTTGCAAGTGAAAAACGGAGCGTTAAGGCGAGATCCACATGTTGGAAGCGGCCCGCCCTCCATTTTTGAAACTGATGTCAACTTCGAAGCTTCAGGAGCATAAGTGGTGAGGAAGCAAGAGGAAACGCCCGGCCCGTCTTTTCGACAGGAGGAGGGTGCGAGGAGGAGGAATTATTTAAAAGGACAGCATGGAGAAGGAGGAGGAGGAGGAGGGAGGAGGAGGAGGAGGAGGAGGAGGAGAGGAAGAGGAGGAGGAGGAGGAGGAGGGGGAGAGGACGGAGGAGGAGGAGGAGGAGGAGGAGGAGGAGGAGGAGGAGGAGGAGGAGGAGGAGGAGGAGGAGGAGGAGGAGGAGGGGAGAGGAGGAAGGCATGAGAGGAGCGACAGGAGGAGGAGGAACAGGAGGAGGAGGAGGAGGAGGAGGAGCAGGAGGAGGAGGAGGAGGAGGAGGCGGGAGGAACAACATATGGTTTATTCACATGAAGACGCAATACAGGAGGCTGGGAATACCCTCTTGGGCGAATTCGGACGCGTACTTGGACACCTGGCGCGGACGGCACATCGGCATGTTAGATGCTGCAGAACGCAGCCAACTGACTCGCTGTGCTTCGACACTGTCTCGATGGAGGGATGGGGGGGGATAATCTGGGAACCGCATCAGGGGGGATCGGGGCGGGCGATGGAGGATCAGGATGCGCAAGAGGGGTGGCGGGGTGGGGGGGGGGGAAGAGGGAGTCAGAAGGTTGACCTGGCCCGTGATGCAGCCGACGTCCATGCAATGGGAACGGGGGTCCGCAGAAGGTTTCGATGCACCGCCACCGTGCCAGGCAAGGGTCATCTTGGGCCCCAGGAGGATTATATATATAAGATACACACATATATATATATGTATATATGTATATATATATATATATATCTACATATGCAAGACTGCAGTGGCGCTTCGCGCCACGCACCTTGGTCCTTGAAGTTTGGTATGCAGGCGGCATAGCAGGAAGGTCAAGCCGAGAATTTGGCGATAACTTCTTGCTGCCTTTTCCAGCATCGCCGCTGTGAAAATGTTATTCGTTATTCTTCCTCCATGCTTCTTTTTCCTCATTTTCGCCATACCCTGCGCATTCTCCCCATCATCCTCAGCTCTTTTTTGCGGAGGCTCCTCCTGGGAGAGCCTCTGGGGGCCTCACAAAAGTTGCTTCAGGCTTTCTTGGGGCCATCTTGGGCCGACATGGGGCTCTCTGAGGGCCATCTTGGACCCGTGTTGTGCCGTTTTGGGGCTCTCTTGGATTGTTTGGAAGCCCTTTCGGATGGTTGTGGGGCGATTTTGGAGCCTCCCAGGCGGCTTCGGACGCCCAGAAGATCGCCGTCTTAGAGCGTCGGGAAGCCGAAAAGAGGAGAACCTCACAATTCACCAAAAACCAATAGAAAATCAATGATTTTTGCCACTTGGGGCCTTCTTGGTGGTGCTCTTGGAGGCCTCTTTGGGACCGTCCTGGAGGCCTCTTGGGCCATCTTGAGGTCACGTCGGTCACTCTTGGAGCGCTCTTGTGATGTCTTGAGGTCTCTGAGACGTCTCCGATGACCCCCCTGATCGCCCTAGGAAGGCTTGGCAAAACGCGCTGCGAGGCCCGGGGGGCCGCTTCGAGGCCCGTCCGGAGGGTCCCAAAGCCCCAGATCCCGGGAGTCCCGTTTTGGGTGGGGGGTGGTGCGGGGGGTTATCCCCCCGCTCAGGCTTTTAACATATAGGAGGAGGATAATATACATATATATATATATATATATATACATAAGCCCTCCTGGCCTTGGCCAGAGGGGCGTTTTACACCACACCGCGGCGCAGGATGGCCCTCCTGGCCCTCCTGGCCTTGGCCTCCTGGATGGCGCTGCAACCACCTCCTGGCCGTGGCCAGGCCAGGTGGTGGTTTGGAGAAACCTCCTACCTGGGGCTCCTCCTCGTCCTCCTCCTCCTCCTCCTCCTCCTCCTCCTCATCCTCCTCCTGGTCGGGCCAGTCCCCCCTGCACGTGCACGGGTGGGGGGGGTGCGCGCGAGCGTGCGCCCAGCTCGCCTGCAGGACAAGCCGGCGTTCAACGCCGACCTCCGGGCGCGCTCCACCACGCGCCGCATCGCCGCAGGCGCGCCACCGTGCCGAGACGACGTCGGTGGGCTCCTCCTCCCCGTGGCCGCTCGCTCCCGCGCCTCTGCTGCTCGCGCCCCCGTCTCTTCTCTCCAGTCTCCTTGCTCCTGCGCCTCCTCTCGCGCCCCCTTCTTCCCGCGCCTCTTCTCCTCTCCAGCCTCCGGCTTCGTCTCTCAGGCCTCCAGCCTCCGGGCGCATCTTCTTCTCCCCACATCTCCAGCCTCTTCTCGTGCATCCTCCTTCCCGCGCCTCTCCTTCTTCCCAGCGCCTATTCCATTCCAGTTTGGTATGTGTTGGGATCTTTTCTGTTGGGCTATCAGGGACAATCTTGGGACCACCTGGGGACGTCTTGGACACTCTGACCGCCGGCCACTCCCCCCCTGTCCAGATCCCCATAGGGAGGCAAACCCCTCCTGGAAGGGCGGGTTGAACGAGCTGGCCCCCTTAGGGCTGGTGGGATCTCCCTCGTCCTGCTCATCTCGCGAGGCAATGCTTCAACCTTTCAGGTGAACCTGTCAGCATCTTCTCTTGCCCACGGCGCTGCGATGAGCCCTCTGCAGCATTCCATCGCGACTTCGAGGTCTAGGAGCAGCGTGCTCAGGCGCTGCTTCCTCTGCCCCCTCCCCCTCCCCTCCATCTTTGTCGGCCTTCCCACCGCGACGTGAAGGCCGTATGGCTTGCACCCTCGAAGCATAAGGCTACGCCCTGGGCCCATGGTCACACTTCGCCTTGCGTGCTTCTGCCTGCTGGCGTATGCTGCCGCCCCCCCGAGGCATCGAGCCAGGCATCATGCGCATCGCCCTGCAGAGGTCGGCGGCCACCGGCGCCAAGTGGACGCAGATGTTCCGGCCTGGGTTCAACGACATCGTCAACGAGTCTTTCAAGGCGCGCCGCTGGGCCGCTGCTACCGCTTCGGCCCACCCCTCTGGCAGCTTAAGTCTCAGGAGGGAAAAAAGCACAGACACAATTCATCGGCGATCCCCAGGAAAATACGGGAACATATGGGAAGTGGTGGGGACGACGAAAATCCAGGACACCTGGGATCTGTGTCTGCTTGTCTGTGTGCGCCCCAGGGCCCCTTCCAAGTCGTTTGGCCTCTGGGCCCTCGGTTTTCGAAAGCCCCGGGCCCAGGGTCGCGAGCCCCTGCCGGAGTCTTGGGCCTTGGGTCGTGCGGCGGGCATGGGCCCTGAGCTTGGTGAGCCCTGGGGTTAAGTCGGGCCTGTCCCTCTACAGGGGGAATATTCATCGGGGGTGGACAGACCTCCTACCCTGACACGTCGATTAGTGAATTGTCCGTTTTCGGTTCTCGAGAGGGCGCCGCGGCCGTCATCTTCCAGGCTTGCGCCCGCCAGGTTTTGGCCCGAGGTCGTTTTCACTAAACCACGTTTTCCTAAAGGGAGGTCTGTCCATCCCCGAATTCAGACATGGTCAAAAAACAGTCTGGGGACGATTTCTCGAGTACTCTTTGAGCATTCTGGGAGGTTTTTTTTGGTATACTTTTTTATTTTTCGTCCAAGATGCCCCTGTATCAGGAGGGAAAAACACACATAGACGCAATTAAGCGTCGATCCCCAAGAAAATGTGGGAAAAGATGGGCATTGGGCGGCAATTGAGCGTCGATCCCCAAGAATATTCTGATTTGTGTGTATCTATTTGTGTGTCCTTGGGCCCCCTGACTGTCGGGGGACAGGCCCGACCTCAGATCTACTTTTTGATATTTCGTTGTTGGTCTACTTTTTGATATTTCGTCCGAGATCCCCCTGTAGGGGAACTATACATTCACATTTTTTCATTCGAGTATTTCTTGAGCATTCTTGGAGTTTTGTTTGGCCTACTTTTCGATTTTTCGCCCAAGATCCCCCCTCTTAGGGGGACAGGCCCGACCTCACCCCCCGAGCTCGGTGAGCCCCGGGGCTCTCCGCCGGCGGCTCCTGCCCTGCTCCGCCCGGCCCCGCCCCGGGGGAGCGCGGCCGCGGCTCGGCGCCCGCCGTGCCCGCGCGAGCGCGCCCGGAGCGGCCGCGGCGCGCGGCCCGGCTGCGGCCCCGCAGGCGCCCCGTGTCGATCCTGGATCCTCCATCCTCGATCCTCCTCCTCGATCCTCCTCCTCCTCCTCCTCCTCCTCCCCTCCTCGATCCTCCTCCCTCCTCCTCCTCCTCCTCCTCTCCTCACCTCCTCCTCCTCCTCCTCGATCCTCCTCCTCCTCCTCTCCTCCTCCTCCTTCCTCCTCCTCCTCCTCCTCTCCTCCTCCCTCGATCTCGATCCTCGATCCTCGATCCTCCTCCTCCTCCTCCCTCCTCCTCCTCCTCTCCTCCTCCTCCTCCTCCTCCTCCTCCTCCTCCTCCTCCTCCTCCTCCTCCTCCTCCTCCTCCTCCTCCTCCTCCTCCTCCTCCTCCTCCCCCCCCCCGTTCAACCCGCTCCGCCAGCGCATGCCCTCGTCGGCCCGCTGCCCGGGGGGGGCTCCTCCGCGCGGCCCTCGCGAGGTTCGGGGGCAACGACGGGGGGGGGATGGGCACAGGGGGGTCGCCTCGATCCTCCTCCTCGATCCTTCTCCTCGATCCTCCTCCTCCTCCTCCTCCTCCTCCTCCTCTTCCTCCCCGTTCAACCTCCGCGCGGCTCTCACGAGGTTCAGGGGCAACGACAGGGGGGGATAGGCATAGGGGGGGTCGCCTCGACCCCCCCATCGCCCACTGAAATCGCCGATGGGGGCCCGATGGCCCCGACCCGCCCGGGAAGGCGCGGATGCACCGTCGGAGGCTTATCGCCGATCTGTCGGCCGGGTATCGCCGATTCCAGGTCGATGCCTCCCCCCCTGTGCCAGTCCCCCCCCCCTATCGTTGCCCCTCAGAGACGGTGGCGCCCGCGGGGCCCGGGCCCGATGGGGCTGCGGCGGTGCCCAGGGCCCGTGGTCTCGTCGCCGTGGCTGTGCCTCTTCAGGGCTCCTCGCTGGGAGGAGCAGGCGTTTGCCAGAGCGGGCCCCGAGTAGTGGGGTCTCGCGCCCCGCACGTGTCGCTTTGTGGTGCAGCCTGCTCCGACTTTCGTGATCAATGGGATGGGGTCACAGCCCTCCCAGACGGGCAGTTTTGGACCCCCCCCCAGACCAGCCATGAACAGGCGGCCCTCTGCCCAGACCCCCCTGGAACCCTCCAAGACCGCTCAAATCAGACCCCCACCCCAAATCAGACCTCCTCCGTTCTATTGCCAACCCGCGTAGTAAGGATGGGCATCCTTCCCAAGGGCACCCTTGCATCCTTGCCCCCTCGGCCCATCCTTGGCCACCTTCGTTGGCCGCGCTCCGCCCGAGCAGCTGTGACATGACCGTCCAAGGCCCCTTGCATCCGGACGGGGGAGGTCAAAGTTCGCTAGAGAGCTTCGGTTTCAGGCGGCGCCTCGACTGAGGGGGTGACCGCGGAAATCCCGTTCTCGGTCCGTCGGGGGGGCGGGCTGTTTTGCCCATTTCAGGGACCACGCTACTGGGGCGTGGCAGCGAGGCGATTGCGAGTACAGCTGAGCGTCTGCTCTGATAACTGGCCAGCGAGTTCAAACATCGTGCATCGGCCCTCCAAGCTGCCCAAGTAAAACATGAAAATAAGAACCTTCTGATACGGGCCGACCGCAGCCCTCGAGAGGGACGGGAAGGAAGGAAGGAAGGAAGGAAGGTTCGCGCGAGCAGTGCTCTATTCAAAGCGAGAACCCAACGCAGGAGGGTTGGGAAATAAGAACCTTGTGATACGGGCCGACCGCATTGTGAAATCCGGAGCGTCCGGTGCAGGCCACGCGGTGCAGCCGCGCCCGCGGGCGGCAGCCGAAGATCAGGAGGAAAAGAATCATTGCTCGATTGATTCGGGAGAGGAAGAAACACACAGACACAATTCATCCTCGATTCCCCAGAAAATATGGGAAAACATGGGAAGTGGGGGGGAAGGCAGAAACCCGGAACATGTGGGAAAATATATGGGGGATGTTTTGTTGATTTGTGTGTATCTATTTGTGTGTCCTGGGGCCCCTTCAGAAGAGGCGCCCGTCGCGTGCGCCCACGAGGCGCGCGCGAGTGCGGCCGCCGCGCGGAGGCCCTCCCGCGGAGAGAGGCGCTCCCGGCGCACTGAGGCGCCCGCGGGCGGCCGGCGCGCCGGAGGCCCGCGGGAACCCGACGGGGCCTGCGGCACGGAGGTTCTCGGCCGGCTCTGCGAGAGGGCTGCGGCACGGGGAGCCAGCCTGGAGTCGGGCCTGTCCTCCTACAGGGGGAGAACACAAAAAACAAGCAACAAGCAATGGTTGCATGCATGCATGCATGTATGTATGGATGTAAGTATCCATGCATGTCTGTATGGATGTATGTATGGATGTAAGTAGGTAAGTAAGTAAATAAGTAAGTAAGTAAGTAATTAAGTATGCATGCATGTATGTATGTATGTATGTATGTATGTATGTATGTATGTATGTATGTATATATGTACGTATGTATATGTATATGCATATGCATACATATATATGTATGCATGTATGTACATATGTATGTTTGTATGTATGTACGTACGTACGTATGTATGCATGTATGTATGTAGGTATGTATATATGTATGAATGTAAGTAGTTACGTATGTATGTATGCATGCATGCATGCACGTATGTATGTATGTAAGTACGTAGGTATGGATGTATGTAGGTACGTATGTACGTAACGTACGTATGTATGTATGCATGCATGTATGTATGTACGTATGTATGTATGCATGCATGCATGTATGTTGGTATGTATGTATGCATGTATGTATGTATGTGTGTATGTGTGCATGCATGCATGCATGGATGTATGCATGCATGTATGAATGTATGTATGTTTATATATATATATATGTATGTGTATATATATATATATATGTATGTACGTATGCCCGTATGTATGCATATCTGTATGTATGCATGTATGTACGTATGTATGTAATGCATGCATCCATGCGTGCATGCATGCATGCATGCAGGTATGTATGTATGTATGTACGTACGTACGTACATACGTACGTATGTATGTATGTATGCATGTATGTATGTATGTATGTAGGTGCGTATGTACGTAACGTACGTACGTACGTACGTACGTATGTATGTATGTATGTATGTATGTATGTATGTATGCATGTATGTGTGTATGCATGTATGCATGCATGCATGTATGTTGGTATGTAATGCATGTATGCATGCATGTATGCATGTGTATGTGTATATGTATGTGTATGTATATGTGTATGTATGTATGTATGCATGTATGTCAGTAGGTAGGTAGGTAGGTCGGTAGGTAGGTAGGTAGGCATGCATGTATGTATGTATGTATATATGTATGTATGTATGCATGCATGCATGCATGCATGCATTCATGCATGTATGTATGTATGTATGTATGTATGTATGTATGCATGTATGTATGTATGCATGTATGTATGTATGTATGTATGTGTGTACATATACATATAGTATTCGTCATACTTTGGTATTATAAATCCAATTTTTGAGTATGTATGGGGTATTTTCTGGAGTACTTCTAAGTTTTCTTCCAATATCCCCTTGTAGGGGTACACGCCCGACCTAAAGCCAACCCGTCGGCGACAAGGGACGCGACCAGATGCTCGTCGTTCGCTGCAGGGGGGAAGTGCGAAGGCGGGCTTCCCAGGAGGCGGCAGGGCTTCCCAGGAAGGCCCCTGGCCTTCCGAGAAGTTTTCCGTGTCTCTGGGGGAGGCTTGGGAAGCTTCTCAGAGGGCCGTGGGCTTTCCGAGCCTTCTGAGAATTCGCAGTCCTAGAGATTGGCACCAACTCCAAGATCGGCGGTGTGCCTCCACCCAGGGAAGACGATCCAGATCTCGCTGGTGGTGGTACTGTTCTGGCTCCTAAGGTGACCGAAACACTACCGCCAGCACCGAAATCCAAGATCATCCTTTCCCTGTGTCGGAGGGCACCAACTATACACCAACACCGATCCTGGCCCAGGATCACCCTGGGCCCAGGATCGGTGTATATGCCTTCTTGCGCAAGGCCGGAGGGCGTATACACCGATCCTGGGCCCAGGGTGATCCTGGCCAGGATCGGTGTTGGTGTATAGTTGGTGCCTTCCTACCGTGTGCTGGTGTTGGTGCCAATTTCCAGGCCTCCGAGGAGAAGGCCCGCCCCTTTTTCAATTTCCCCCCCCCCCCCCGGGGGGCTCGCCTCCGACCCCGTGGCTGCCCACGCGTCTGGCGCGGACTTGTGGGGTCGGCGCTGGCGAGCGTGTCGGGAGCGGCGCTGCTGCTGTCGTCGTCGTCGTCGTCGTCGTCGTCGTCGTCGTCGTCGTGGTTGTTGGTGTTGTTGTTGTTGTTGTTGTTGTTGTTGTTGTTGTTGTTGTTGTTGTTGTTGTTGTTGTTGTTGTTGTTGTTGTTGTTGTTGTTGTTGAACATTATTACTTCTAAAGATTAATTAATGTTGGGACCCCTGATGCACGGCCCCCTCGCCGCGCCTAGGCCGCAGCCATGTTTTCATCATTTTCGTGAGGAAGTCTCCGGCAAAACGGGTTGGTCCGGATCCGGTTGTTTTGTTACGGGCGGTTTTCCCTTGCAAAAAATAAGGCAAAGTGGACATTTCTTGTTCTAACATAACCAAACTTCAAGAATCCCTTGCAAAAATAAGGTAAAGTGGACATTCGCGCGCGCAAGACGAAATCCTTCCAAAACCTTAGTTTTCGTAGCGATTTTAACATAAAAACATCAAAAAACCAATGGTTTTTCAAACAAAAATGTCAAAATTTCATCCCGCGCGCTCTTGCGGATTCGTAGGAAACCCAACACTTTTTAAACATTTCTGTCAACGGGCTTTTGCGAGCAACTTTTTCACGTGCTTCGAACTTCCAGGTGTCCAGTGTTGGAACAGGGGGAAAAGTCGTATACTAAGCTAGCGTCCAGAAAATGTTACCACAACAAGTCACTGTACCCATGCGCCAGTGTAGTAGCCACGTCGTCCGCAGGCCACGAAGTGAAGTGTCCGAACGTCATAGGGCGGGAAGCTGGGTGTGGGTGGTGGCGAAGAGTCGTTTGGAAAATGTGGTAGAGCTTGAAACGGCCCCCCCCACAAAGTGGGGGTATTGCGGGCGTCCGTATGAAAACCCTGGCACTGGTGAGAACGGAGTGTCCCCACGTGCTAGTAATTGTTGTTGTTGTTGTTGTTGTTGTTGTTGTTGTTGTTGTTGTTGTTGTTGTTGTTGTTGTTGTTGTCGAACTGGCATGTCTGAAGGATAGTTATTGTTGATGCCCCCCGTCCGGTGCACATTGTTTTTTTAGATTGAAGTGCCCTTCCCGGGGCTCGCACCCGGTTTTTTTATCAGGGAAAGTCTTGAGGGTCAAACTGTGTCGTTGGCCCCGGGTTACAACAACAACGGCTCCCGCCCGATATTTCCTCACAATTTATTGAAGAATCGCGCTTTCGCTTGGGACTGCCTTGCAATTTACCACGGGATTTCGGCTCCCGCTCGATACTTCCTTACCATTTATTGAAGAATCGCGCTCTCGCTTGGGACTTCCTCGCAACTTACCACCGAATCGCGGCTCCCGCCTGATACTTCCTTACAATCTATTCAGATGCCGCTCCTCGACACTCAGGAATCGCGCTCCCTCTACATATTGCCTGGCGGTTCAAGCAAAATTTACGCTTCAACGACCCGCTCGCTCGACCCGCCCGTCTGGGCCTGCCCGCCCGACCAGCCCGTTAGGGACTGCAGTCGCCGCTCGCTGCCCTTCGCCCGCCTTCGATGCCTCTCGCTGCCCGTACTGGTTCCGCGGTCGCCTTCGCTCGCTGCCCTACGTGGCCCCGTTGCTGCCCTCAGTGGCCCCGTCGCTGCTTCCCGACGGCTCAAGCCATGGCGCAAGCCATGGCTTGAGCCAGTCGCTGCTTCCCCGGAGTGGCTGGCGCAAGCCATGGCGAAAGCGGAACCACTCAGAGCGCAAATCATCGTCCTCCCTCCTTCTTGCCCCTCCCCTCCCTTCCTCCGATCCCTTCGTCCTCATTCTCCCCCGTTATCTGTTACCCTTCGTTTTCAAGGGCTTCACCAACCACACGTGGCAGGGAATGAATGTACCCCCCAAAAGGGGGTACGATCGAACACGAAGAGGGCGGGTATCCAGGGTTTGGGATATGCATATTGAATGAGAAGCGAGCAGATAGGAACGAACAGTCTTAAAATGATTGTTGTTGTTGTTGTTGTTGTTGTTGTTGTTGTTGTTGTTGTTGTTGTTGTTGTTGTTGTTGTTGTTGTCGAATTCTCACTTCTGAAGAATAATTATTGTTGATCCCCCCCACCGGTGCATACTTTTTTTCTCAATCAAAGTGTGCCCCTCGACGCTCGCACCCCGTTTTTTGACAGGGAGAGTCTTCCTGGTCAAGCTGGCCCCCTGGGCACCGGGTTACAACAACAACGGCTCCCGCCTGAGACTTCCTTACAATTTAGCCAGGACCCCCGCTCCCGCCCGAGACTTCCTTGCATTTTATTCAGGAATCGCGCTCTCGCTTGGGACTTCTTTGCAATTTATTCAGGAATCGCTCTCCCGGCGCTCTGGAGTCGCGCTCTCGCTGGAGACTTGCTTGCAACTTACTGAAGAATGGCCTTGCGTTGGAATTTCCTGCAATTTGCCCGAGCGCCGCGCTCCCAACACCCAGGCACCCAGGAGTCGCGCCCATTGTGGCCCCATGTGCATGCCCTTCGTGGCCCCGCTGTCGCCATTTGTGTCCCCCTCACTGTCCTACGTGGCCCAGTTGCTACCCTCAGTGGCCCCATAGTTGCCTTCTGTGGCCCCGCATTATCTGCACTTCGTGGCCCCCGCTCGTTCGCGCTCTTCGTGGCCCCATACGCATTCCCTTCGTGTCCCCGCTGTCGCCTTTCGTGGCCTACTTCGTGCCCTTCGTGGCCCTGCTGTCGTTCTCTCTCGCTCTCGCTTTCGCTCGTCGTCGCCGTCGTCGTCGTCGTGTCGTCGTCGTTCGTCGTCGTCTGTCGTCGTCCGACGTCGTCCGTCGTCGTCGTCGTCGTCGTCGTCGTCGTCGTCGTCGTCGTCGTCGTCGTCGTCGTCGTCGTGGTCGGTCCCCTGTCCGTCCCTCTTCGGGTCGGGTCGACGGTCTGCGGCCGCCCCGCCGATCAGCGCTGCCGCTGGCCAGGCCGACGGTCCGCGGCTGCCCCGCCGCTTGCCGGGGCTTGGCCTGCAGGGAAGAAAGGTATACCCCCCAAAAGAGGTTCGATCGAAGACGAAGAGGGCGGGTATCGAGGGTTTGGGAAATACGCGTTATTGGACACTCGAACATATAAGGGCGAACAGTCTTAAAGTTATTATTGTTGTTGTTGTTGTTGTTGTTGTTGTTGTTGTTGTTGTTGTTGTTGTTGTTGTTGTTGTTGTTGTTGTTGTTGTTGTTGTTGTTGTTGTTGTTGTTGTTGTTATTTTCTTTTGTTTTGTTTTGTTTTGTTTTGTTTTTATTTTGTTTATTTTTGTTTACTTGTATTCTTCGCTTGTTGGTCGTCTTGCCGCCGCCGCTGCTGCCGACTCTGCCGCCGGGGCAAGGTCGGGTGCAACGCCTGCGTGCTCAGCAACCTGTACCTGAACGACAAGCAGGGCCGGGAGCAGTTCCAGAAGCTCTACACGCAGGATCTCCGAAGCGCGTGAGCGCCCGGCGGGAGGCTCAGGCCCAGGGTGCTGCATGGGCCCGGCGGCGTGCAGCGTTGTGCCTCCTCGGGGCTCGAGTGCCCAGGGGACGGGGGTCAGTGCAGGCGGGGACCGACCAGATAGAGGGCCACATGCGAACCTAACCCCTACCCCCGACGATTTGAGGAAGGGGAGGGTGGGGTTTAACTCGTTCGGGAGCTCCCCGGCGTGAAGTGAACCCCACCCTCCCCCTCAGAAATCGTGGGAGGTAAGGGTAGGGTTCGCATGTGGTCCCCAACCAGAGCGCTGGACCTTGCAGGATCCTGCAAAGCCAGGGCTGTACCGATCAGCACTGACCTGGGTCAGCGCGCAGGATCCTGCAGGATCTTGCGTTGAGTCGGGCCTGTCCCTCTGTCGGAGGAATATGCAAAAATAGTCAAAATAGTCTGGGGACTGTTTCTGAAATTATTTTTTGACCATTTTTGATCATTTTTAGACTTCTATTTTTCCTTCAAAGTCCCCCTGCAGGGGGACAGGCCCGACTTAAATCTTGCGGGAGCCTGCAAAGCCCAGCTGGCCCAGGTTGACCCCCGACCAGGTGTCGGTGCGTCCCTGGCCTCCCCTCGTCCCCTCCTGTCTTCCCTCCTCCGCCCACCCCCCCCCCCGCCTCCACAATCACACGCGATGACTGCTGCGCTCCTCTCCTCCCCGGCCCCGTGCGGAAGATGTCCGGCCCTTTCGTTCGCGTATGATTGGTGTTCGCAGGACTGCAGGCGCTGATTTTTCTGGGGCGTTTGTGCACTCCGATTGCTTTCGGTGTTTCAAGATGGTGCTCTCGCTGCTGCGTGGGCATCGTTTTCGGATCGGCGCTGTGCGCCCGTCGTTCAGAATGGCACTCGGTCCAGCGCGGGCCACTTTTCGTTGTCGCCTCTCTCATTTCCCCTCCTCCGCCTTTCCCGGGTCCTCCTGCTCCTCTCACTCCTTCCATTCCGGTTCCTGCTGCTGCCGTTCGTCCTCGTCTTCCTTCCTCCTCTTCCTCTTCCTCGTTTTTTTTTTCCTATTGCTCATCCTCCTGCTCATCCTCCTGCTCACCCGCCATCTCCTACGCAGTTCACCGCTTCCGATTGCGCATGACACGACGGCCCCTTTTTGGAGTTCCAGGTCGGCTATGACACGCGTCCGCGGATAGAGAAACACTCGGCGCAATGGGAAGGAATCGGAGGCATGAATAGGCATAGGCTGGCAGATATGGCGCGATCGCACCTAGCTTGCTTCCTCTCCCTCGCCACTCGCCACTCGCCACTCGTCTCTCTCTCTCTCTCTCCCTCTCCCCTCCCCCTCCTCCTCCCTCGCCTCCTCCCTCTTCCTGTTTCCCCCCTCTCTCTTTCCCCGCCCACGAGACTGTCCTGTTCGACCGTTGTCTGACCAGAAAAATCATTCTGACAGAGTGGTCGGCTGGGCCGTGGGCGAAGAGCTCCACCACCAGACTGTCGTCCTTCAGCTTTACGGGCATTCACTACGAGCTCATCACCATGTGAAGGCTGGTAGGGGGTTACGCCAACGTGCAGTGCCGTTTTCAATACATGCTCCGCGTGCGGATCATGTATCAAACATGCAGGGACTTAGTAGTAAAGACAACGATGAGTTCATGCATACATTCATTGGTAAACTAATCATGTATTAAACATCCTATATGTAAAACAAATCCTATATGTAAAACAAATCCTATGTATTAAAAACTGCCCTGTAGCACACGTAGCGGACGACGCCCACTTGAATCTGGAGGCCACCGCCGGCGCCGGGGTGCGACGGGCGACCGCCAGACTCCCACGTAGCGGGCGGCTTCCCGACGGAACCCAAAGCGAGAGCTCGATCAGTAAGAAGGGTGCCACACGCGAACCCTACCCCGACCCCCCACGATTTCTGAGGGGGAGGGTGGGGTTCACTTCGCAAGTGAACCCCACCCTCCCCCTCAGAAATCATGGGGGGTAGGGGTAGGATTCGCGTGTGGCCCACTAGTAAGGTCCCTGGTTGCTAGCATGTGCGCCACTGGCACCCGCATCCAAGCTCCAAGCGCCCACTTAGAGAGCTAGAGACATTTACAAGAGCACGGCCTTGGCCGCCAGTAGGCCCAGAAGAACATCCTGGATCTCACGATGGGCCCTCTGCGCTTTCATCGCTTCCGGGCACGCTTTCGAAGCTGGGCCATCACACAAGGGGAAGCAAGGGTGGCGAGACACCTGTACTATAGCGCCAAAACCACAGAGCTGCGCGATACTGCGCAATCTTTCCGGGGAGGAGGTCCATGGGGTAAAGTTTGGCACGCCGCTGCCCAGCTCGAGTGGAGCCGGCCAGCGTACGACACCGTCTACGACGACCAGGGCACCTCCCTGTCACGGCTGAACCTGCCAGAGGGGTTGTTTACGCATATGCTCCGGGCGTTACAGAGAAGGCCTTCTCTTCGGCGCATTCCCACCACCAGACGTGACTCGGGTTCCGTCGCGGCGGTCGAACAGGTCTGGACGACTTGAACAATGCGTGGCTGCTCAGAACGAAGAGCAAGGCCAAGTGCACCACTTGGCAACTCGGCCTCCTTTGCAATCACCCGTGTGGGGGTGGCCACGTCCAGCAGAGAAGCCAAGGCATGCATCTCTGCCTACCCGTTTCTTTTGTGCAGATGTCGTGGCCAAGGACAATTGTAACCACGCGAGCGCCGTCTGTAAGTGCCCCTTCCGGGGCTCCGATAGGACGTTTTTTTTTTTGTTGTTGTTTGTTTTTTTTTTGTGTGTGTGTGTGTGTGTGTGTGTGTGTGTGTGTGTGTGTGTGTGTGTGTGTGTGTGTGTTTTTTGGTGTTATATATATATATATATTGAAAAGCAAAGTCGGATCACCGAGCAACAGTGGCGCGACCTGCCGCCGCGCACCAGACACTGCGGCCTCCTTGAGGACCATCCCCAGCCCCTTGATCTCCAAGGCTGCCCTTGCCGAGGACGAGAGCCCGCACGGCCCCTGCCGCGGCCGTCCCCGGGGGGCCCCGGAGACGACGCCTTCGAGGAGCGTGCCGACGATGCCCGTGCCCCATGGGTGTACGCAGCCACTGGCGGGGCTTGCTCGCACCAGGCCCACCCGCTCCTCGCCAGGGCTGGTTCCGGAGTGCTTGCGGCCGCGAGCATCGACTCCACCCACTCCATCTGCATGCACGGTCGAAGGGCCGCGACGCTGGCCACCTTCGAGGGGCCGAGGCGCTCCGCTCGAGGGGCCGAGACGCCTGGCCACGCTGCACCTCGTGGCCACGGCCGGGCGCCCCGCGCGCCTTTTCGTGGACAGCCGAGCTGCCGTCGACGGCTTCGAGGACCCCCTCGGCGGCAAACCGCCACGACTCGAGTCGGGCGGCGAGGTCTATACATATCCACTGCTCCCCGGCCAGGCCCATCCTGAGCTCACGAGCTGTGTATACGCCCGCCTGGCCAAGCCAGGAGGGCGTGGCGTATGCACCGCTGCTGGGTTCAGGCTGGGCCTGGCCAGGGAGCAGTGGATGTGTATAGATCTCGCCGCCCTATCGAGGGCGCCCGAGCCGACCTTTGGCACAACATCCACCGTGTTCTCCCGGCCAGACCGGACACGGTCACAGCCCAGAAGGTTGACAACCACCTTTCGGTATGCATCGGGGGTGGACAGAACCCCCAACAGTGGCACGTCGATTAGTGCATGGTCCGCTTTCGGTTCTCGAGAGGGCGCCGCGGCCGTTACTTTCCAGGCTTGCGCCCGCCAGGCTTGGGCCTCATATCGTTCTCACTAAACCACGTTTTACTAAAGTCAGTACGGAAAAAACACACAGACACAATTCATCGTCGATTCCCAGAAAATATGGGAAAATATGGGAAGTGGGGGGGAAGACAAAAACCCAGCAAATATGGGAAAAGATGGGGATTCTCTTTATTTGTGTATTTATTTGTGTGTCCTGGGGCCCCTTGATAAAGAGAGGTCTGTCCATCCCCGAATGCAAGGCATCCGCGAGGGGCGCACCACGCCCAATTGCGGAGGCTTTCCACCG